TAATAATTGCAATGATCTATTGGGAGTGCTTTAAAATGATAATGCAGTCATCATCTATGAAAACAAAGAACTGAAGCACAGTCTATTCAAATATAATGTGACACTCTATAGCCAAAAAACATCCAGAATTTTGATCAGATGGCATGGACTAAAAAGCAGATTTTGTACTAAACATTCCTGTAAACCCATTGCTTGCTAATAGAAAAAAAAATAATTAAACACACAAAAAAAAATCCAAAGTCAGGGATTACAGAAAGTCCTCGATTTACAACGGTTCATTTTGTGGCTGTTCCAAGTTACTGAAAAAAGTGGCTTATGACCGTTTTCACACTTATGACCATTGCAGCATCCCCATGGTTATGTGATCAAAATTCAAATGCTTGGCAACTGACTCATGTTTATGACAGTTACAGTGTTCTGGGGTCATGTGATCACCTTTTTCAAACTTCTGACAAGCAAAGTAAAGGGAACCCAGATAAACTTAACAACTTAACAACTGCAGTGTTCACTGTTGCAAGAAAGGTCATAAAAGGGAGCAAAATTTATTTAACAACTGTCTTGCTTAGCAACATTTTGGGGTCAACTGTAGTCATAAGTCTAAATCATAAGTCTGTAATCATAAATTATAAGTCAACTTATATTTTGAGAGAGCTAATTTTTATAATTTTAAGTAGATGCAATACTGTAGGCAAACATGAAATGTGCAGGTTGCTTACAAATGTAAGTAAGTTTGAATGCTTAAAATGTGAACAGAAACACTGACACTTACTATTGTTTTGAAGAGCGTTTTCTTCTTTTTTAGAGTTTTCTTTTCTGTTTCCAAGATGGGTGGAATGTTTGTCTGACTCATTCTCTGTGACACATTTGTTTCTTCCAATGTTGGACAGCATATGGATAGGGTTAAAGCTTTAGAACAGTGCAGTGTACATAGTCAAAATAAAGTTGTAAAATGCAATCCATATCAGTAAATTACAAAAATTAGATAGATGGATAGATAGATGGATGGATGGATGGACGGACGGACAGACAGACAGACAGACAGACATAGAGATATTATATAGACATAATATAGATTTACATCATCAGTGTCTCCCTCTCCCTCTCAGGTAGTATGTATGTGTATGTGTGTTGCAAATAAGGCTAAAGATTAATTTTCCACAGAAATGGTTTAATCTGACTAGACTGTACTGATCTATGTGAATATTCACATGATAGAATATCCTTCAAAGATATCCCTCACAGAAGACTGAGACATGAAGAGAAATGTTCTCCTACTTTAGCATTGCCCCTGACATCTTTAAGTAGTGACAAAAATAATATATTTAATATATAAAGTTAGAGCCATTCTGTGGGAATATATAAGATACATTTCATCATTCTGCTGCCCCCAACTCCTTGAGCATTAGAAAGTGAACATCCATTTCCACTGATGCAGCCATTATCTTTGCTATCATTTTATGTTATGTAAAATAAGACTTCCGTGTTTCATTTCTGCACCATCATATAGAAACAGTTCCTATTTCTGCCCTTGCAGAAAAATGTTTTTTCAATTAGGCTTCTTTGAAGCTACATGCAGATATAGGAACTGTTTCCTATAGCCATGGTGGCTCAGTGGTTAGAATGCAGTATTGCAGGCTACTTCTGCTGACTTGCGGGCTGCAGCAGTTTGGCAGTTTGAGTCTCACCAGCTCAAGGTTGACTCAGCCTTCCCTTCTTCTGAAGTGGGTAAAATGAGAACCCAGATTTTTGGGGAAAATATGCTGACTCTGTAAACTACTTAGAGAGGGCTATAAAGCACTGTGAAGTGGTATATAAGTCTAAGTGCCATTGTTAAGTCCTATTTCAAATACACATTCAAAAATCCAGATAGCTAATCAGTCATTATTTCATGGAAGAATTTATTCCAAAGGAACTCTCGTCATCTAGGGTTTGGAAACAGAAAAAGAATTTCTCCCAGTCTATCAGACCATGGTTCATCAGTAAGATGAACCATTTATTTGAGACATGGATAATGAAATCTTAGGAGGGAATTGCTGGAATCACTCATACAAATAATAAAAACAATAGCTGAATTGTGATGTACAAGTATCTAGATGAATTTTGACATTTATCAGTTATGACAAATATCATTGTCTACTTTTCATTTTTTCCCAACACTATATTAAATAGTCGCTTTTATCACAAGCACATTACATTTTATTTCTCTGTCTGTTTTAAATGCCTATGTGATGGAACAAAAATACTTGCATGAATAAAGTGGCAAATCTTTGTACATAGTACAAAGTACATACTATGTACATAGAAACTTTGAATGGTCACTAAAAGAACTGTTATAAGTCGAAGACTATCTATATATTATTCAGCAGTATTAACATGAGTTTATGTACATGAAACAGAAAGAACTTTTCCCAAGATAAATGATGTCCTTCCCCTCCGCCCAAAAAACCCTATACTCAATGACAAGAAGGATTTTAAAATATTTGAATACTAGGCAACGTAGGTTTTGCCTTTATGAAAATATATAGTCTAGATTCAAAAGATGCTGAAACTGCTCATGTATTATTTAATTTCTGGAAAAATTATATAACATAACAGCCTTGTTGTTATTTTTAAATGAACAGGGGTGGGTTTTATCGTTTTTTAAAAATTAATGACTGTAAAACTGCAGAGCTTTCACTTTCTTAATTAACTTACCTGGTATGGTTGGCATAGATCGGCTGGCAAAACTCATTTGCTTGAGTTGAACAGATGTTTTCTGAGGGACATCCAGATGTTCAGAAAGGTTGGTATCACTCATAAATTCATATTTTCTTGACAGCTGCACAGCCATAACAACAACAACAAAAAGCCAATGTGTAAAACTCAAGAAAGTAAATTGTTTGGTTTTAATGGGTTACTTTTTAATATGTACTGTCAGTTATTGACCTAAAGATGCCATTTTGGAACTTAAATTCAGCTGGAATTATTCTGTTAAAAGTGAATAGAATTTGAATTGTGCCCTACCAGCACAATCAGTTTGGAGCTTCTGTTCATCTTTTTTAAAAGCTAATAAAACTTTCTCAAAGTTCCAGAGTAAAAAAGGAAAGAAAATATAATCTATACTAGATAGAGATAATTTGGAGTTGTCTAGCTATTTTGGACTAATTATCACACTAGCTGCCACTAGCTGCATTTTTCAAGATCATGGAAACTGAAGTCCAAAATATCCTCATGAAGGTAGCCAGAATGCCTATGCCCCTCCCCTGTCCCACTCCCCTCTCTCCCTGCCACTAATTAACTCTAGCATTTTAAAATACTTTATTAGATCAGGGTCTATTTCTACATTAGGCGTGGCTAGGTGTAAAAACTATGAAATGATTTTTTTAAAAAATAGACATGGATAAGATCATGGTACAAAAGCATTTCAGAATGAATTCAATCTTTCCACTTGAATATTATGAGATATGATCATATTAAAAGCTGGCAGTTTACAGTTTACAAACATACCTTTTTAATGTTATTAGGCAGCAAATAAATTTAACAAATAATATTTCTTTGATTATTGCAAACTGCTGCTTCTCTCTCTCTCTCTCTCTCTCTCACACACACACACACAAACACACATGCACACACAGAGAGAGAGAGAGACAGATAGACATAGAGAGGGGGAGAATTTTAGATGTATTTGTTATGGATTGCCCTATGTCAGGAGTGTCAAACTCGCAGTCCATGGTCCAGATGTATCATGCATTGGCCACGCCCATGCCCCATTTAGTGAAGAGGAAAAAAGTCACAATACATCACATGACGATGCCGTGACACTCCTGAGCAGTGAGTTTGACACTCCTGCCCTATGTACATTTAGCCAGACTGTGAGTAGGTAACTAGGTTTATGTTTTTTAAAAAAAACAGTACAGATTCTAAAATGAAATATAGTAGTCTTCTTTCATTGTGACAATAAGTGGAAAGTGTGGGTGGTGGTTATGGAAGATGTATGCATAAATGTACTTGCTATGTTTTTGATACCAGAGAGTTGGTTTTTCTAATTTTTTTCAATTCTAAATTTTCTTAATTAGTTAAGAAGTGGCATAGAGGCTCATGTTTAATTTTTTTCAAAATCTTCAGGACAGCGCATACTGATTATTAACAATTTATGCCACCATAATTAAAAACAACAACCCTAAATTCTAATCTTAGCATTTAGAATAGTATAAAATATGAATGCTTTCCTTTTATGTTTTGAGAAATCACAAAGAGACTCAATTTACTTCTGGGCTTAAAAAATAGATGGGGTAATGGTTTCTGATCAACAGCTTATGTCCAAATATAATGCATATTTTGTTACAATTCTTCTAAATGATTTATGATCTAACTGATCTTCATGTAGTTCTACTTTTTGGCAGCAAACAAAATTGGATGAAACTTCTTTACTGAACTGATGTGGGGTTTTTTTGCCCCCTTTAATGACATTGCATTTTTAATACTCAGAAGCCATTCCCCCCCTTAGGTTTGTCATAAAATGTTGCAGTACAAGTTATATAAATTCAGGCTGATGATAAATTAGTGTGATCAAAGTGCTCAGATGATAAATGGCCCAAAAAAGATGCCAGTGAGGTATCTTTTTGCTCTGTTGATGGCATTGTTTGCAAAGTGGTGGCATCCTAACAAGAAATTTTGTTTCTTTAACAGAGTGAACATGTATTTATCTTGAAGGAACCTCAACTGGAACTGGAGGCCATAGATGTTCAGCCAGCTGCTCTCCTCCAGATTGCTTAAGCAATCTCCCACCCAGCAATTTGCCCTTGTATCAGGCAGCAGATTAATCCAGAGAATGTCAACTACAGACCAGATTCCGCAACATGTTAGTTTATCACCTGACCAAATTGGCTGTTATATCTTGAAAGAATACAAGATTTTGTCTTTAAAGGCCACAGGTTGGTTAAAATGTGCCTAATATGAGAGATACTAAAATTACCCTGTTAACAAGAACTTACACATTTCATATCAGGAAGGTCAGAAGATTTTTTGTCTGGGAGTATGACGCTGCTTCTCTTTTCTCTCTTCCGGCCTTTCCTCATTTTCACTTCAGGCTGGTTGCTTATGAGACGCCCATTTTCTTCTGACACAGATTCGGTTGCCTTGGGTGACATGACTTCAAGTTCAAAGCTACCAATGTAAATGGAAACAAATTAATTAACTTAATTAATCTGCCCACAGTACTGCCGTTCCCTTGCAGAGGTTCTTTGCAATATGGCAAATCTAATGACATCAGGCAGTTCCAGAGGGAAAGCAGGAATTGGAAGTCCTAGCAGCTGAAAACTAGTTAGGGAAAACATTACAACTACCAAGTCTTTTCTTTTTAGTGCTGGCATTCATTCCTTAGTCAGGAAAGAGATGAAAACAGGAATTGACAACCAAAGGAGGTAAGTGACCTAAGAGTTCATTTGAGAACATGTTTATAATAGGCTTGGAATGGAATAAATAAGAAATCAAAGGAAAATTAATATTGATTGACTGATTTAATCAAAGCTGTATGCTGCTGATTTTGCCAAATGTGATGCTAGATAGATAGACATTGACTACAATGTACTATAAAACAGAGGTCCCCAAGCCCTGGGCCTCAGACTGGTACCAGGCTACAGCCAGCCAGGATCAAGGCCCCACAAGTGAGCAAAGCCCCATCTGTGTATGTGCAGGATCCAGACAGAGTGCAAAATCATGGCTCTTCTCATCCGTGGGGGGAAAAAAACACACTTCACAGAACCAGTCCCTGGAACCCAAAAGGTCAGGGGCTGCTGCTATAAAATATTATAACAATAAATAAGGATCTTAAATCTAAAATTCAATTGAAATAAAACCAAACAGGATGGAAAAAGAGGGAACCAAGTACACACAGGGAAGAAGTGGGGTGTTACCTACTCTATTAGCCACTCCCAAAATGTCACAGGATCCCAGGCTACTTGGCAGAGTCATGTCTTCAAGGCTTTTCAGAAGGCCAAAAGGAAGTCCCACCCCCCAAAAAATAGAAAGCATTTTTTAAATCTAGACATTCTACATTTTATTTATTCAGTGATTATTGGCTAGGGAATAGCTTCGAAGCTGTTCATATAGAGGGATTTTCCTGGATGATGCTATAAACTTAGTGAACAACTAAAAGTTATATATCAGGTTAAACTATGCAGAAAGGTAATCCAAGAAGGTGCCACCAGTATTTGGGAAGTCTTTCAGAATCATCCCAAATATTATTTATATGAATATGTGCATGGTGAATAAATCCTCAATGCAGTTTCAATCTTCAATGCTGTCAGCCCACCACTGCTAATTTTAAAAGCAGCATTCACTTTTGTAATAGTTTTTATTATAGACCAAATAAAATTAGATGCTTACTATCTCTGTTCAATCATGGTATGTTTTCTTAATGTAATATGTTCTGTTCCCTCCTGATCTGTATCTTGCAGAAAACTCATGCCAGGAAGCTGGCCCATAACTAACCTTTCTACAGGAATCTTGTTTGGTGTACCGCAGTCAGAATTCATGGAGGACATTGAAATAATGGACATCTGACGATACGATCTCAGCATAGATTTTGGTCGACCTAACCGCCTGTCATCAAAATCCGGCTTAGAGAGAAAAAAAAACATGAAAAAGTTTGAGTACAGCAAAACTGATTATTGCTTTTCACTGGCTGGCTGGGAATCGGAAGAAATACAATAGCGTTGGGCTATTTTCTACAGCTTTCTTTGCAGGGATAAATACATTGATTTTTATTTTGCTTTTGTTTAACCTTAGTTTTGACATCTATAATGTGTGGCCAAAACCTGCCATCCAATTTTCCGAAAGTATTTTTTTTTCTTCTATAAAAAAATAAAATAAAACAAAACTTTTTTTTGTTTCATTCAAGTATGCTTTAAAATTTATTCTTCTGTTTCCATTTTCCTTATTATTGTCAGATTGTTTGTCATTTGCCTCAGACTGAAAGAGAGTACTCTCCAAGTATTATTCTTACACAGTTTCTTTAGATTTTTTTTTTTTTTGAGATGAAAGGAATAGCATTAGAAACTTCAGTAACTGAACTCTATCCTATCTACAACATATATATTTTATTTAGTGAGTTATTAAACTTCTATGCCACCCATCTTGCCAAAACAATTCTGGGCGGCTTACACTCATTCAATAAAAATACCACATAAAACATTAAAACAATAAGTAAAGATCATACATTTAAAATTCAGTTAAAATTCAATTGACCAAGATGGAGGAAGGGATTAAAGAAGTGGGGCCTGTCTAATCTATTAACCAGGATGCCATTCACCCTTTGGGGCCCCAGGCCAGTTGGAAAGTAATGAGGTGAGTGAGGATCTTGATGTCCTAGAGGGCAGGCCATGGCAAAAAAAAGGGTCTTCTCCTGCTGGTCAAAATTCCTTGACTGAGAGGGTCCACAGCATGCCTGTTCTGCTGGTATAGGGGGTAGGTTAATCCCACCCTCCTATGCCAGCAACCCAGAATGGTTGCTGGAACTGGGTATGTGTAGTTTGATGAAAAGAAGGACTAGGGGTGACATGATAGTAGTGTTCCAATATCTCAGGGGATGCCACAAAGAAGTGGGAGTCAAGCTATTCTCCAAAGCACCTGAGGGTAGAACAAGAAGCAATGGGTGGAAACTAATCAAGGAGAGAAGCAACTTAGAACTAAGGAGAAATTTCCTGACAGTTAGAACAATTAATCAATGGAACAACTTGCTTCCAGAAGTTTTAAATGCTCTAATACTGGAGGTTTTTAAGAAGAGATTGGATGACCATTTGTCTGAAATGGTATAGGGTTTCCTGCCTGAGCAGGGGGTTGGATTAGAAGACCTCCAAGGTCCCTTCCAACTCTGTTATTCTATTCTATTCACTGGGGTGAGACTGTTCTCAGATAACATGGACCCTTGCCATGAAGGACTTTAAAGATGATAACCTTTAAATTGGACTCAGAAGCAAACTAGCAATCAGTGAGGCAGAACAATGATGTAACAAAGGCCATCTCAGGGACTTCAAGAGCTGCCCATGTGACTGCATTCTGTACCAGCTAAAGCTGCCACTTACTCTTCAAGGATATTCCCATGTAGAGCATATTGTAATAGTCCAACCATGAGGTAACCAGGGCTTGAATATGTGAGTGCAATGATTCCTGATCCAGGAAAATGTGCAAATGGTGCACAACACAAAGTTTCCCAAAGGCTCTTCTAGCCACAACTGCCTAAGTATTCCAAAGTACTTTATTCTATATACTTCTTTATTTACTCATTATTTTCTTATTTTAATTTGTTATGATTGGTTGCCCAGTCAGCCTGATATTTAGACTGGATTTGACAATTTTATCCACTTATCCTGTCCTTCCTATCTGATGGTGCAAAAGGAAACATTGATGTAAGTTGTTCTCCCCCCCCCCCTTGTTTTGGAAAATTGGAAGGAATGTGTGTGTTTGTGTGTGCATGCATGTGCACACACATGCATTTGTGTGTGATAAGAATAGTTAAAAAAAAATCTGAGACACAGCAAGTACAAATTAAGCATACATATGTTCACAGAACATAACAATAGAAATTATTTGGTGAACAATATGGGACCCAAGGTGATTCTGTAATATTAAAATAATCTAAAACATCCCTAAATGCTTGTTTCATAATGAGATGCTCTAGGTTAATCCTGTTATTTCTGAATAGTGAATTAGATATCAAATACAAGTTTGTTTTGTTTGATAGTATATAACAAACATATACTGTAAGCAATTTAATTTTGGCTGAGACATTTTTCCATAGTTCTAATCATTAGATTGAAAAAAAATGTGGCTAATACAAATTGTGTGGGATGTTGATATAAAATTAAGTTTCCAGAGTTACTCAGTATTTTTCTTTTTTGACATGCTACAGATATAATATATTGGTTCTCTTTTTTAAAAAAGAAGGAAGCCATCCCTGAATTATAATTTGAGCATAGATCAACTATTTTATTTCCAATACTTTTGCTTTCTTACATGTTAATATTTGAATGAATTTTTTTCCCCCTCTCTCAATGTCTTTCTCTCTCTCTCAATCTCTCTCTCAATCTTTCAATCTCTCTTTCTCTCAATGCCTTTCTCTCTCAATGCATCTCTCTCAATGTCACTCTCTTTCTCTCAATGTCTGTCAACGTCTGTCTCTCTCAGTATATCTCTCTCAATGCCTCTCTCTCTCTGTGTGTCTCTCTCTCTCTTTCTCTCAATGTCTCTCTCTCAATGAATATCAATCTCTCTCTCTCTCTCAATGTCTCTCTCTCAAT